TTCATGGGCAGTCAGGAAAGGAAAGCGGTAGTGATGGCACCCACTCCTGGCCAGACTCAGGAAAAGAGGACGTCACAGGGAGGGGTGGGCAGTCCAGACCGTGGGGGACAGATGCACATACACTCACCCCAGTTCCCCAAAAGCAGAGCCCTCCACTTCCCCAGCCACCGTTCCTGACCACTGTCTCAAAAAGTTTCAATCCTAAGGAATGAGTGTCAATTTCAGCACCAGAAGGGATTTGAATCCTTGCTTAGTCTCCTGTCAGACAGAGGTCCTTTACCCGGGTGGGCTGCTAGAGATGTCTGAACTCCCCCAAAATTATATACAGGTTGAGGGGCCCTTATCCAAAATGCTTGGGAATAGAAGCGGTGTTTTAGATTTCAGATTTTTTTCAGACTGTAGAATACTTGGGTTACACCAGCTCAGCATGCCTAATCTGAAATCTGAAATGCTCCAGTGATTATCTCCTTTGAACGTGATGTTGGCGCTCAGAAAGTTTTGGATTTTGGAGTATTTCAGATTTTGGATTTTCAGATTAGGGATACTCAACCTGGACGTGGACATTTTCCTAGAGAGAAGACCTATCAAAGGTCTCTGGGGCCATCCCTTGTCCAGTTTACCATGGCCAAAAACATAAAAAGTCTAAAGAAACCACTGTAATGATACTGATAATGCTTACCCAGTCTTTTTTCTCTGACGGTCATATTCTTTTGAATCCTTTAATTTAAAAACTGTCACAGGAAATTTTTTAAAAACGTATCCTGCTAAAGTAATTTATGATTTTGAAATGTCACAAGATCTTCTTTCCAGTGATTGGCTAAAATCCAGCACAAATGAACTGTCTTATATATTTGAGACTCTATATCTATTGACATAATAACAGAAATTTTAATAAACTGTTTAGTTATTTTATGCTGGAAATATTTGGATGCATTAATTTTGCAGTTCTCAGAAGAAACCAACAAACTACACTTATTTTAAACATTATTTAATAACAACGGTACCCAAATTAATGAATGAATGAATTTAGGCAAACCTGCTTTTCTCTATAATCCATTAAATACGTTTTCACTGCAGATACTTCAGAAATCATTTCGGAAACAGTCACAAACATATACATATTCATTCACAGAAATGCCATTTACAGTTTTGATATCAAATAGTCATTATAGTCAGTTCACAAAAAGAGTATAAAGTGCAAAAGCTCCATTTCAAAAGGCCTTAATGGAGATAAAACTTTACCAGCCAGTGGACACACCACCCTTATACAGCACACCCTATATAAGGTATGAAACAAGGTATATATCTGAAAATACAGCATTTGCTCTGGTTACATAGTGTGGTTATAAAATAGTCTTAAATATGGTTTATCATATAGGGAAAGATACGATTCAAACAATTAGTCCCTTAAAGTAGGGGCCATTTTTCTTTTAAGCCCGTAGAAGAATGATGTCTATAAAATCCATTGAGAATCCCAATCTGGTCCAAGACTTCTCTTTGACCAGCTGGAACAACAGCACCCAGGCAAAGCATGGGCTATAAAAGGCTTCAAGTTCATTTGGGGGGAAAAGGAAAAGGAGCTAGGAGAGGGGCCCTCGCTGGGCAAGCTTCGGCCCTCACCTGTCGCCTAGAGATGGTTCCATGTCAGCCCCAAGGCTTAAAGAGCAGGGAAGGCTCAAGTCTCAGTCCTGGAGCCTTCAGCTGGGCACTGGCTCACAGAAGCATTACAAATTGGTGAGAGAGGTTTTCACACACCTGAGAAATCCACTAAATGGAAGAGGTGGCAGTATTTTTACAAAGCCTGTGTTTGATGATCACCAAGCTTTGTCCCCCAACAGAACACCTTTGATCTATAATTAATGTTTTAGGCACTCTTCATTGGACAGGCACAGTGTTCCCCCAAAATGTAGCCCGTTACCAAATGGATTCAGACATCTCATCCCCACACACCAGAAACGTGCTCACTGAAGGGCTGGCTTTATAACAATATAATCATAAAGGGGAGAAAAGGTTTCTTTTTCTGATAATCCACAATCAATCAAAAACTATAAAACAAGAATCACTGACTGAAATGATCACCTGGTAACATTACTGGTTTTTTATATCCTAAATCCAGTTCCCAGTGGGTATTGATCTTGGGCAAATTCTAACCAGAACAAAATCGGATAGCCATGCTGAGTAAACCTCTGCCATCACCGTCCTAACTCCTAAATATCTACTGGGGGAAAGAGGAAGGAGATTCTTGATTGCACATCAATTAATGAAATAAGCTATTTATTTTTTATAAATCCGAACACATCAAAATCTGTGAAGTCACACACATAACAGCTATTTTCCGTGACTCCAACCCAAGTGCAGAAGCATATCAAAAAGTAGAACTCAGTTCCTTATTTCCTAGGGCCCATTCATGTCAGGCTTGACTCAAAAGAAGATTCAGTAGTAATTCTGAGAATCCAGTGGTGAGTATTCAAGGATACAGCTACGTCTAGTGCATTCCAAACTTGCTCCTCATGAAAAAAATACACAATTGGTATTTATATTCCATATAAGCTACAGAATAAACTGTCGACTCTAATAGACATTGTTTATAACCATAACAGGGGGAAAAAAATGAGACAGAAATAAAGAAATAAACCAAAATACCAATAGTGGTTTTACTTGGGCAAAAGAAATGTGGGCTACTCTTTTCTTCTTCTTCTTCAACTTTCTATAGTTTCCCAATTTCCTTTAAAGAGCATGTAGTGCTTTTATATAAATATGAATGATACCATAAACCCGACTCAAAATAACATTGGTTCCAAGTCCTTGCAGAAGTAAAAATAAATAATAAAAAAATAAAAATATTGGTATATTTCTACTCTCTTGACTTTTGCAGCCCACGCTGGCAAGCTATAGTGATTTCTGTTCAAAAGCAGAGTTACGTGTTGTCCTCCTCAAACACACCCCATTCCACATTTCTTTTTCAGCCCTCAGCTCTTTACAGCAATCTCTAGAAGGGCATTCTGCTTTTAGTCATGTGTCTTACAGAAGAGAGATGGGAACAGCCCAGTGAGTCAGGGCACTTCCTTCCACCCAGGCCTATTCAAATACATCCAGCAATAGTAGTTTATCCCTATTTCCAGGGTTTGGAGGTTGGGGTGTCTCCACGGCCCCCAAGGAACAAGTGCTCCCTGACAGGAAGAAAGGGCCCTTCCTCGATTGTTGGGACAATGCTCCTTTCACTGAGGAACCCTCGAGACAAATTCAACCTCACACAAAAAATCATTTCCTGCATTCTGCTACTCATCTGTGCTTCTACACTAAGACAGCTGGGCTTCAAATACACAAAAGCCCCTACTCTGGAGCATTTTTATGCTGCAAAATAGATGAGACCAGAATCCATGCCTGATGAGGTCAATCTGAAATGAGAATGGTCTGATTTTTCTCTTTAGAAACTTCTAGACTTGAAACCCAAAGGACTTCACAGCAGTTCTGGTCCATGAACCACCTAGGTCTCAGAGAGGTGCATTAGAGGTCCCACAAATACTTAATTCAAAGGTCATTTTAAAAATACTTTTTAAACTATAGTAAAGCAACATGTACACTGATTCAACACCAAATTTTTCTACCTTGGAAATCACCAATGTGTTAATTTGCATTTTCACCAGCTGATATATTAAGTGCTATAAATTTAACCTTAAATAAATTTGAGTTAATAAAATACAATTTAATTCACACATGAGAGTTCCATAAGAATTTCTTACTACAAACAAGGTTCTGCTGCTAAATAATTTGATAACAACAGAAGTAGAATAAAGTCATTCATTTTTAAACTCTCAATTCATTGCTTACTGGGCTTTTTACCTTGGATACTGTGCAAATTCTAACCATAGTAAAGCGTTGCTGGATGTGCCAAAAACTGTTACTTCCCAACTCTTAGGTACTGAGGGCAATGACATGACTCCTGTCCACACAAGAAGGACATGTCTGTCCTGCCTTTGCCCAAGAATGGAATGTTACAAAGCAGGAGATGCCTGAGTTAAAATGAGTATCCCTGAGGTCGATAATTCCCGTCTCACACTGTGGAGACAGTTTTGGAATCTTCCATTCAGCCCAATGAAGAGGAGGTTAGTTGTAGCCAGTGTCACATTAGGGAAGAAAAATTCAGAAGGCAACAGATTTGTCCTGCTGCACCAGGGACTCAAACCAGCCAGTGAGTGTGTCATTATGGCCAGCACTTGGGAAGAGGGAGCAGTTGAGCACTCTGAGAAGCCACAGGGAGCACCTTGTCCTGGGAGGGTGAGGGGCATAATGCCCTCAGGAAATATTAGAGAACGGAGAGGTGAGCGTCTTGAAGATAATTTCCAGAATAGCATAGCATACTGGAGGCTTCCAATGAGAAAACAGTTTCCAAAAACTTCATGTTTGCTCCAAACGTTAAAGCAGAACCCCCACCAAAATCTTAAGAAGCCCTTTGGTAAGTCATAGCACGGTGTGTCTATTCTTCTCTGTGGATTTGAGGCTACTGAGCTGAGGCAGGAGAGGGGAGGCAGAAGTGATGTCAATAGTTAAAAATTGTGCTCGTCTTCAAGAATGGCTTACAGTGGAGTGTAGGTTTTGGCATAGAGGGTTTTACTCGTTAGCTTTACCCTCATCTGAAGTTAAGTCTCCATCTCTCAGCAGAGGTAGTAGTAAAAGGATTCACAAATGTATGCAAAACCTGGGTTAGTTGAGAGTTGCAAGTGAAAGACTAGCCTTTTAGCCACAAGCCTTGTGTTTCGTTTGTTTCATTTTCTTTAAGGACAGTCTCCCCAAATGAAAATCTCCAGCACCTTCCATCAGAGTCAGGGGGGGTGCTGTCATCGGAGGGTCTGTCTATCAACAGTAGAGTCCACTCCAAGGGTGCGTGGGAATGGTGGGCGCTGCAGCAGGGCAACTTTCTCCAGGAAGAGGGGCTCTGTGCAGGGCTGGGCTCCCCCAGGGACTGCTCTGCCACGGCCACAAAGGATGCAGCCCAAAAAGCCACTGCATATGGCAGTGAGGCTAAGAAAGATACACCTAGTGTCCCTAAGCCCTCTACTCTCCAGCTTTGGGAAAGGGAAAGACATTTCTCCCCATGCACAGTGGAGTCCTGGTGGTCCACAGACACACTAGTTAGAGCCCAAGGGAATAGACTTTTTAAAAGACAGGCCATACCCCAGCTCTTCGAACCCCCTTGGCTATCTTTGCTAGCAAACAAAGCCCAGTGCATGAGGGAAAATAAGCAGAGAGGCCAGCCACCACCTTGCCATCATGTGATCTTGACTGGTGATTTCTTGTTGGCACACAGGAGGGACACATAAGGGACGCCGATGAAGGCCCATTTCTCGCTGGGCCAGAACTTGATGACAGGGCCTTGCTCAGGGATCTCTGAGGCAGCATCGAAGTAGGCAAAGCACACACAGCCCAGGTAGGCCGCCAAGCAGATGAGGATGTGCCTGCAAAGGGAGACAGCCGTCAGAACTGACACAAGCCAAGACTCGCTGCCTTGGGCCCAGCCTGCTCTTCCAATGGGCTAAGCCCCCTCCCCAACTCTAACTACAGCCCAGGGGCCTCTTCTAATGAGGAAGGGATGAAGACAACCAACAGCCCCTGCAATAGCAGGACCATAAATCGTGAGCAATTCAGGACTCATCTTAGAATGTTGTAAAATATTATTGCTTGACAATAGGAATAAATGTGCAAATAAATGCTTCAACCAAGACTGAGGCCTAAGGATTTAAAACAGAGGTGCTAAGATGGAAATTACTGAACACAGCTGATTAGATCCCACCATCTCACTTTAACAACTGGTTGTAGATATTTTATACCCTACATCAGGAATAAGTTTATACTGATTAAACGGCTTTTGTAGTTTAATAGGCAAATCCTTTTTTTGTATTAACGTTATTAAGTATGAAACGTCCAATTTCCTTAAGTACTAAGTTTGACGGTTGATATCTCTGATATTTCACTTTGACACTTCTTATTTTATTGTTATTTTGAAGGTAAAGCCTCAGTGTTTCAAATGCACACTGTGGCTTGTGATTATCTTTCAAATTTTTTTTTTAAGAGCAATTTTTGTCAAAATTTCATGTTATTTTCAAGTATGAGTTCTGTCATGGAACCAATGCAGCGCAGACAACTCGAAATATCAACAAAGTGGGAAGGATGTGGCTAATGAACACACAGTACACCCATGGTTTGAGAAGTTTTGTTCTGGTGATTTTAATCTTGAAAATGAGCCATGTGGACGCCCTGAGACCAAAGTGGATGATGATGAGCTGAAAGCTGTAGTGGAAACGAATCCATCTCAACCTACATGTCAATTAGCAACAAGGTTTGACGTTCCTATTCCAACAATATTGGACCATTTGAAACAAATCGGCAAGGTAAAGAAGCTGGATAGATGGGTTCTGCATGAATTGAACGAGTGTCAGAAGAAAAAATCGCCTCAAAGCTTCTTGCCTTTGTTTGTTGTCAAGACATAAAGGCAAACCATTTCTACACTGTATTGTTACGTGTGATGAGAAATGGATTTTTTTTGACAATTGCAAGCATTTGGCACAATGGCTGGATAAAGATGAAGTGCTAAAACACAGTCCAAAACCGAATATTCATCACAAAAAGCTAATGGTGTCTGTTTGGTGGTCCAGCGCTGGTATTATCCACTACGGCTTCATGAAACCTGGTCAGTCGATTACAGTGGATGTCTACTGCAACAAGTTGGATGAAATGATGAGGATGCTTGTGATTAAGCAGCCGAGATTGGTCAATAGAGACAGGTCAGTCCTCTGGCAAGACAATGCTTGATTGCATGTCGCACAAACAACACTGCTCAAACTACAGAGGCTGGAGTTGGAAACTCTCTGTCATCCACCATATTCACCAGACCTTGCACCAACTGACTACCTCTTCTTCCAGGCTTTGGACCGCTTCTTGCAAGGAAAAATATTCAATTCTCAACAAGCTGTGGAAAACATCTTTGGCGATTTAATCAACACTCTCTCTCCAGGCTTCTTCACTGGCTGGCATAAACAAGCTACCATTAAGATGGCAAAACTGTGTTAATAGTTTAGGTACATGCTTTGACTAATTGTACTGTTTCTTGTTTGAGATATAATGAAATATACTTTTGATTCGAAATCTGACATTTCATATCTAACAATCTAATACTATATATGCATTGGTGAGGCTTGATGTCAATATAGTAATAGATCTAAACAGTATAGATTTAGTATTTGGTTTTAAAAAAAAAGGATCAGTTTGCATCATGTAATCATGTATAGAATGTTATTTTTGTCTTTAAAAAGCAGAAAGAGAAAAATATATACATATATATATATATAATCAGGAAGGATATACTTCAGATACTGCAGAGTGTTAACAATTATCTGTGTTAAGAATTATGAGAGCCACTCTTTCTATACTTCTATACTGTTTAATTTGTTACAAAATTTATATATGTGGATTTTTTTTGTTTTTTTGTTTTTGAGACAGGGTTTCGCTCTGTTGCCTGGGCCAGAGGGCAGTGACATCATCACAGCTTACTCCAACTTCAAACTCCTGGGCTCAAGCGATCCTCCTGTCTCAGCCTCCTAAGTAGCTGGGACTACAAGAGCGTGCCACCACATCCAGCTAATTTTCCAATTTTTTTATAGAGATAGGGTCTTGCTATGTTGCTCAGGTTCATCTTGAATTCTTGGCTTCAAGCGATCCTCCTGCCTCAGCCTCCCAAAGTGCTGGGATCACAGCAGTGAGCAACTGCACCCAGCCTATATGTCATTTTATAACTGGGAGAAAAGATCTTCAATTTTTAAAAACAAAGCAGAAAATACACCAAATTCAGAAAAAAGTTTGAGCCAAAATTATTACATAGTCTAAATTTTGAATTTTACTTAAATCACTGCTGTGACAAGGGGATTTGAATTGATAAAAATGACCACACTGAATGAGATCATATTTACATAGATGTACACAGTTATCAAAACTCAAAAATGTACACTTAAAATGTGTACATTTTATTATCTGGAAAATATAACTCAATAAACTCAACAAATATAGAAAGTATATAACTTCACTACTGTGAGTTGAGGTTGAACCCAAGAAATTTCAGGCAATGGATCCTAAGACTGAAAACCCCAACTTGTGCTATTTTACTTTGTTTTGTCTTTTGCAAACACTTATTGAAGTTCCCAAACCTTAAATTTAGAATAGGAAGGGTCTCATGGTAAATATATACAAGTTCATATGCAGAAGGGAATGTAAGCAAATCCTTTCAAATTTTGTATCTTTAGGCCATTTCCAGATAGAAGTCAACCTTTTTCTGAATCTGGATCTAACAAAGTTTTTCTAATTCTACTAGAAAAACTAGGATGTTTTTCTAGCACACACTTGTAGTCCCAGCTACTCGGGAGGCTGAGGCAGGAGAACTGCTTGAACCCAGGAGTTTGAGGTTGCTGTGAGCTATGACAATGCCACTGCACTCTAGCCCAGGTGACAGATCAAGACCCTGTATCAAAAAAAAAAAAAAAAAAACTCTTTTAGAATTCCTCCTGGATGCTCTCAATCTAGCAGGAACAGGACACAGCAGATTTCTCCTGCTGCTTATTAGCTTTTGTAGTCAGAAGTCCTGGAAGACAGAAAAAGAAAGATCACCCTGAGTTAAGAGCTAAAGCAGTTCTTAGGAGGAAAGCCGCTCCGATCTCCTCCTCAGCTTTCTGAGTGTAGGATTCTGCATGTGGTTTTGTAATCTGCTTTTTTTTTTTTTTTAACTTAATACTGTGTGCTGAGCATTCCAAAGAATAGATGCTCCAATTCGCTATTATTAAACTCCAAGGTTGTTTTTATATAAACAAATGGGTGATATTGAACGATTCAGTTTAGTTCTCTGGTTCTCTGTCTCCACCTGAAAAAAGGGAGACTTTGGGGGACACATTTGGGGAAGACTGTCCCCAAATGACCTGTGAGGCCCCTGCTTTCACTCAGGCCCCCGCCTCAGATCTAGCTGGAACTCAGGTTACGGATTCGGCTTTCAAGCACCTCTATGCTTTAATAATGGAGCTGGAGGTAAGAGACTGCAGACCTGAAGCGTGACAGTTAGGCCTTTTGTTCTGGCTAAGCCTGCTCGCTGGAGCCAGTTCAGCTTTTTACAGTGTGCACTCTGAACATCTGACAGTCTGCGTGAGGACAGAGGCACACTAGGACGCCTCGCTGTCCCCTGAGCACACCTGTGCACCGTGCAGGGAGGACAGAGCCCGAGAGCAAGTGTGAATGCCTGTCTCCCAGCCAGCTCCCGGTTGGCAGGGGCTTACCACACGCAGTGCAGGTAGGGGAAGTGGAAGGACGACAACAGCTCACAGAAGGCTCGGTCACTGATCCAGCAGAAGAGGGCGAGCGTCCACCAGAGGCCCGAGAAGAGGCCCAGCTTAAACACACGCACGTTGTCACACCTGCATGGGGATCCAGACAGCAACTTGTCGTCAGTCCTGGTTTCCACCCACCCCAGTGGCCACCCATCCTGTCTCCTTCACCAGTTCCCCTCGTGTCCCCAACCCCTGGCACCGGAGTTCCCAACATACAGTCACTCTACAGTCTCGCAGCGTAAATTCTACATGTACCACAGATGGCTCACAAAGACACCCTTCCCACCCAGGTGTCTCCCCTGACTCCAGCTCACAGAGCAGCTGCCGTCCTGACATGTGCACCCTCATGTCTAACATGGACCTAAATTTAACACGTCTTAACCTGTCCTTCTTCCAGTCTTTCTCTTTCCCCCACAGCCCACATCCAGTCCATCAGCACTACCTTCAAAATATATCCCAAATCTGACCTCTTCCCACCAGCTCCACCTGGATCCACGCCACCACCCTTTCACCCACAGCCTCCTTCCACCCTTGCCCGGCAGCCAGTTTTCAGCACTCCGCTCAAAAGCCTCCAGCACCAGCCCCTTTAACCAGAGGAAAGGCCGAAACGCTTGCAGCAGCCACGGGGCCCCACATGCTTGGGCTTCCCCCTTTCTCTGCATCTCCTCTCCTACGCCAGTGTACTCCAAGCCATCTCGGGAAAACACCCAGGCATGCTCCTACAAGGCCTTAGTACTTGCTGTTCCCTCTGCCTGGAATGCTCTGCCCCCAGGAATCCACACAGATCATGTCTCCGAGTCTGTGCTCAAATGTCACTCAGTAAGCTCTTTCCTAACCACTATTTTTAACAATTGCAACACCTGTCTCCACCTCCCGAGCGACCCTCCTTATCGTCTCCTTCCCTCCTTTAATTTTCTGGGTATTGATGAGAACCCCTCTGACATCCTCTGTGTTTCACTTGTTTTTGTGTTTACAATTTGTGTTCATCCCCTGACATGTAAGCTGTTCTCTGCTGACATCCCCAGCACCTGGAACAGCGCCGGACACAGAAGCCTCTCAACATTTGCTGAGTGAAGTAAGTTCTTATACACACTGGGACAAAATGTGTTTCTGAAACAAATCCTAACAGCGCAAAGGAAATTTCAGTTGCTGTCTTCCTTCCTTGATACAGAACTGCACATAAAGTGGGTGATTTCCATTTCTGGATGTCCAGAGGCAGTTGGTGGCTGAGGGTCCTTCCAAACCCTTCCTTTAGGGTCTCTTTCTCTCAGTGGAACACTCCTGGGTCAGTCAAGATCTCATGTGGGGGGCTGGGTACAGTGGTGGCTCATGCCTGTAATCCTAGCACTCTGAGAGGCTGAGGCTGGAGGTCAGGAGTTTGAGACCAGCCTGAGCAACAGTGAGACCCCAACTCTACTAAAAATAGAAAAATTAGCCAGGCATGGTGTCGACAGCCCGTAGTCCCAGCTACTCAGGAGGCTGAGGCAGAGGATCACTTGAGCCCAGGAGTTTGAGGTTGCTGTGAGCTATGGTGACATCACTGTACCCCAGCCTGGGCGACAGAGTGAGATTGTCTCAGGAAAAAAAAAAAAAAAGATCTTGTGTGGGACCCAGAGTGTTGCTCCATGAATTACTATAGATGTGTCTGCAGACAGGATCTGTCTTAGGAGTTTTGCAGAGCTTTGCCCTGAAGGAATATGTGAATGAGTTGGTTTGCATTTCAAATGCTGTTACACTCCGAAGGGCGTCTCTGAAAGACAGTAGGGGCTGTATCCCACAAGGCGCCGCAGTTCTCAGACTTAAAGGTTTGGATTTGCTTTGTACAGCAAAGCGAATCTGTTAAAAACTACAGGATGAGAGCTGACAATGGAGTGCCCCCTGGAACAGACAGCTGCCCGAATGGCTAGAAGCAAAGCTCTTGTTTAAACACTCCAGACTACCTGTCTCCATTCACAATAACCTAATAAACATGGAGCCAACATATCTCTGTTTAACCCCTCTGTTAAGTGATAAACTTACCTTAGAACTTAGAAGTTAATCTTTGAAAGATTTTGTAACCATTTGTTCACGTAGATAGAATTAGTTAAAGGATTTGTAGAAGCCTTTTGAAAATCTGTTAACCTGAGAAGAAATACCTGTTGTTATGTAAATCTGTTAGCCCTGGCAATTAATCACTATTCCCTGTAAATTACCATGTAAGACCTCATTCGGGGCTTTTGAGACCCACGGAGAAGGTCTAGGCCCCCTGAGATCCCGCTTTGCCTATAATCTTCATAAACTTATAAAACTATATCTTTGTCCCTGTGTATTCTTTTATTTTCCATTTTTCTCTATTATTTTCTTATGCCTTGCAACTCTACCAAAGGGACCTGGTTTTTTGCTGGGAGCTTAGCTACCTCCCCGCACAGAGTCCAACACAACATCTGCAACCAAGACGAAGCTTAATTCATTTGTTGAACAACCGTATGTGTGTCAAAAGCCTGACTTGCTACTACCTTTCCCGGCTTCCTGACAGAAACATCAGCAGAAACATAAATAAAGACAGGATAAGACAGCAGGTTCAGAAAGACCTGCTCAAAAAAACAAAGTATTCTTTTGTAGGAGGGCAAAATGTATCCTTTGGAAATTTTTCGAAAGAATTAATAAAGGCCCATGACATGGAGAGACTACATTCCTACTTAGGCACTAAAACAGAGATAACGATTTCCATTTCCCTCTTCTTTTCACCTTCTCCCTCGAATGACTCACCTTCAGCCCTGTCCCCTCACTCCTGGCCTGTCTGCGGCCCCTCTCCAGGGCTCAGCCTCCACACTTCCTCAGGCAGGTTCCCGACACCCCCACCACCATCTAACATAGCTCTCTTCCCACTGCATTCTCTCAGGGCCCCCTGCCATTTTCCTTCACAACACTCGTCACAAGGTGAAACTATGTATTTATTTGTGTCATTATCTGTACAACACCTAGTATTAAACCAGCCTAGAAGACCAAGAAGAGTAGGAACCATACCTGCTTTATTCACTAATGTATACCCAGTGCCTGGCCCAGAACAGCTGTTAAATAAATGCTTACTGTATGAATGGATAAAATTATAAAGTAAAAGGACAATTTTTTTATTTTTTATTTTTTTTTAGAAAAAGAGTCTTGTTCTGTTACCTAGGCTGGAGTGCAGTGGCACAATCATAGCTAACTGCATCCTTGAACTCCTGGGCTCAAGCGAGCCTCCTGCCTCAGCCTCCAGAGTAACTGGGACTACAGGTATGTACCACCACACCAGGCTAATTTTTAAATTTTTGTAGAGATAGGATCTCACTATGTTGCTTAAGCTGGTCTCAAACTCCTGGCCTCAGGTGATCCTCCCACCTCAGCCTCCAATAATGCTAGGATTACAGGTGTGAGCTACCACACCTGGAGATGTTTTTTTGGTAGAGATGGGGTCTCACTATGTTGCCCAGGCTGGTCTTGAACCCCTGACCTCAAGTGATCCTCCTGCCTTGGTCTTTCAAAACACTGGGATTACAGTGTGAACCATGGCACCCAGCCAATGACAATTTTAACTGGACTCTAGTGATCTGGGCAGAACATTTTTTAAAGATTTTTTTTTTTTTAAGAAGTAACCATGTTGACTGGGCACCAAATTCTCAGAGTGCATGCTAAGCACTGTATGAGGCAAAATAGGCCTCTTGCCTTGTGATTTAAAAGGGTAAAACGAAAACTGATAAGAAAAACACCAACAAATATACAGACAATTCATCTGGTACAAGAGGATCCATGAACATCCAGTGCAATCAAACCTAGGAAGATTGGCTTAAGGAACATACCGGAACAGAGAGCAATATGCTGGAGACGCAGTACATGGAGGGTGTCAACAGAGGCGGAGTACCAGGTGGTTAGTCACTGCCAGGCCCCGGCTGGACAGGGCCGACATCTGTGAGACAGGAGAGAAGCTCCATAGGTTCAGGGTCTCGGCTGCCTGTTACTCTTCCCCACTCTGTTTCTAGAGGGAGCAGGACCTGCTAGAAGCCACTGACCATGTTTATTTGCACGTGGGGTTTGTCCAAACCTGGGCCCAATTAGGCTTTACTTCCATTTTTTAGGGCTTTTAACAAAATATTAGTATGAGGTAAAGTGAAAAAAGTGGGACAAAAATCCTATAAACAGCAGGACCCTATTTTAGATGGGATCAGGTGCGTTCAGGGCGGCCTGGCCGTAGACAGGACCCTATTTTAGGATAGAAAAATCTGAGCAGAATATCTTTCCTTCAAACCATCATGCACAAAAAAATACAAATTAAAAAATTTAAAAATAGGCTGGGCATGGTGGCTCACGCCTGTAATCCTAGCATTCTGGGAGGCCGAGGCAGGAGGATCGCTCGAGGTCAGGAGTTCGAGACCAGCCTGAATAAGAGCGAGACCCCATCTCTACTAAAAATAGAAAGAAATTATCTGGAAAACTAAAACTATATAGAAAAAATTAGCCAAGCATGGTGGCGCATGCCTGTAGTCCTAGCTACTCGGGAGGCTGAGGCAGGAGGATCGCTTGAGCCCAGGAGTTTGAGGTTGCTGTGAGCTAGGCTGATGCCACGGCACTCTAGCCTGGGCAACAGAGCAAGACTGTGTCTCAAAAAAAAAAAAATTAAATAATTGATTAATTAAAAAAATTAAAAATAAACAGAACATCTATAATTTCTTCTGTTCTTGACCATTGACTATATTCTCAAAAGTTTTTCTAAACAATAAAATCACTCCCATAATTAGAAAACAGTATATCTTAAAACATTTTAAATGCCGAGTCACTTGGCAATGTGACTTAACACCACTGATTTCAATGTCAGGTCATGACCCCAAATCGGAATAAACTCTTGTTTTCTGATGGCCCAAGAGAAGGTTCAGAAAGGACAAGGAACATATGAAAAGGCTAGAAACGAGCTTTAGGAATGAAGGCTAAAGAGAAACAGAAAGCTAAAAAGCAGTCCTTCCTCTATTTCCTGCGAGCAAAGGGAGGCACAGTGAGAAACAACCCAGACATTTAGGCACAACAGATCACCGCTGGCGACAACACGGGAGATCCTGAAGGAAGCGCAGAGGGCG